AGCATTACTCTACAGGAATTTAGAGCCAAAATACACTAAATTATCAACAACAACAAAAATGAGCGCTTGAGGGGTCTTGAGGAGTTATTCAGCATATATTACGTTCATCCTTCAGAATGATGAACCGAATTACACTGTGGAGTGTGAAATAAAGTGCTTAGCTGACATGTAAAAACAAATCGTCTAATTAATAAATTCAATCAGGCCCAGCTCATGTGCGCCTGCTTTCCTATGGTTTCCTCTCCGGGCGGCTCTGGGAGTAGGTTTAATGGTTTTAGCTGACATGAGAGTTAGAGCATTTAGACCTGAAGGAGAATTAAGAGCCATTTCCTTTTTGTGCAACACAAGGCTAAGATGACTGATATCAGCCATTAAGACCACAGGCGATTAAGGGCCGGATAGGGAGCATCATGTTTTATAACGTAGTTTGGAGCGAGGGCCCACTGCGTCCTGCTGCAACGTATGGAAGGATAATCAGGGAAGTTTCAGGATGTGATCGGAACAAAAGCTTAAAACTGAAATGAGTTTTATTGTCTAAACAACTGCGTAAAGCACTTTCACAACAGGGGTATTTCAACAGCTCCAGAAACAGAATAAGAGTTTTCAAGGCAGAGTGAAAGGTTAATGCTGAATTTATTTTGCATTCGTTAGCTGAAACTTGCTGGTTTTGGTGGCGAGAAAATCTAAGCATCTCAAGTGCTCATTTTATCCACTTGCCACTATTTGACACATTTTATAAATAATATTTATTTATAGGTATGGATTTCATTAGGTCAAATTTCCCTCTCACTTACACTTGGACAGAAAAATCTGTGCTCATCTTTTCACACTATAGCTAAATGACTTTTCATAACCCTAGCTTTGCCAAAAATATGCTCCATGTTTTGACGTACATCACACCTAGCAGTAATGTGAATGTCCGCATTAGCACGCAGTGCCTGACATTTGGAGAAAATTAAAACAAATGAAAGCCAACACCTCATTTCAAATGTTGATGCTGGTAATAAAGGACTGCTGGGATGGTTTTGACATCTTTCTGTAACCTCACTCCCACAGTCGCAGCAATCTGCACTTTAGCGTCCCAAACGACACACTGCCTGTAGTTAACAAAACAGAGACTGGCCGCCAGCGGTGGACGCACATTCCTACACGGCAAGTGTGCTGAAGCCATCAAATAAAACCTGGTTGTCAATCAAATCAAGGCAGTGGGGGCTTCACATGCTCTGTAAAAGGCTCACAAGTTATAATTTACTGTGCTCAGGTCCAGTTAGCATTACATACACTTAGGGAATTGCACTGCTAATTAACAGTTTTTTCACTTTAAAAGCCGGAATTTCAATACAGAAAAAAGGGCTGTGATAAATAGTGTTATTTTAGGATGGTTTATAACAGGGAGACAAGGCTAACTGAGCAAGAATGAGCAGGTGAGCTTTGCAATGAGGACCAAGATAATCCAAATATAAAAGTGGTACCGGTTTAATTTTTAATAAAAAATTATATTAATAATAAAAAGTAGGTCTAGTTCTGGAAATATTCTATGTCAATTACCCATTTCCAAAAGCATTAAAATATTCCAAGAAAGTTTCTGTCTACTGGCAAAGCATTCAAATCTACACAGAAAAATTCAAATACTTAAACAGTATTGTAATAAAAAAATAAGGCAATCATAGTTGTGAACTAATCACACAAGGTAAATATATTGTTTAGCAAAAGTGAAGAAATCTGATTAAACATCATATTCTCCATAACTCATATGCCACAGAGGAAAGGACAATCCTGTAAGAAATGTCAGGGAGGGAAAAACAAGTCATCAGATTTTTTTATTCTTGTCTTTTACTATTTTCATGATTTAACGTGAAAATAATAATACTATTTTCTTGATGAACATCCTGCACAAGGGAAGACACCAAACCTCATTATCCAACACTAAGTCTTTGGAATAATGGAATTCATTAATTTATGATCTCATAAAACTCTATTGTAAAACATGTCTAAAACAGTTATACTGCTGTCTTTTACAGAAGGAGAATGGAATGAGATCATCTTAATTTTGTTATTGTTACCACACAAGAAGTCAAAGATTCATGGAAACAAGGGGAAAAAAAGTTCCAGGCCTTCAACAAAATAAACTACGGAAAAATGTGTTTTCGAAATAAGTCTCATGCGCACCAAGGCTGCATTTATTTAATAAAAT